ATGAGGAAAAANAAAAAAAAGATTATTTTAATGAAGCAATGAGAAATGTCAACATTTAAGATTGATCAAATAACTTGTCCACTATGGGATAATAGATAGACATAGAAAAAGCTAAAAGAGTAGCCAAGTGCTACTTCTTATCGTAGAACAAATATACTGAATAAATATTTGATATAAATGAATTGTATATTCATTATATCATTTAATTAATTAACACAATGATTGAATGCATTTGAGTTTATTAAATGAACAAAAAAAAAAAAAAAAATTAAGTTAAAGTAAATAAATGCTTAATAAATTAAATTATACAATAAATGATTGGTTAATTAATTGACCAAATGACCAATTGATTGATTGATTGAATGATTATTGACATTGATTTACATATCGATGTTATAAAAACAATGTTTACACATTATCGTTTCTAACAGCTAATGTATACATTAGTACTTAAAGATGAAAACTGAACGGAAATGAAAACATTTGGTCAGAAAGAATATTTCGTTTTTTTTTCCCCCCCCCTCCAATTACATATTATCATCTTATTATTATCTTCAGTATACCTGTTATCATTATATCACATGATAATGATATTAATCAATAAGAATATATTGCATTAATAAACGAATACTTACAATCAATGTTATGCTCATAAGTACATAAGTGATGTAAAATTTTTGTTTAAATAATTAATTGATTACAATTAGTTAATTAAAAATTTTGATCAATTAAATTTAATTATCTGAGTAATAAGTATCCGTATAAATTCTAATATATATTTATGTTGTGTATATGTGTGTGTATGTGTGTGTGTATGTGTGTGTGTGTGTGTGTGTGTTTACATGTTTATTTATCTGTTTGTATGCTATTTAATTAATTAATTAAATTCTTCAAAAGATTAATAAATGTAGCTTTGTTGAGTGATTGATCTTAAATAATATCAATAAATCATTTCAAATTATGAAATTATGACTGTTTTTTTTCTTTTCATATTGAAATTTTAACAGCTGAAATATATGTCTTTAAGTATTTCTATCCATAATTCTATTTTCTTTTTAAGTTTAATCGATAAAAATATTAGTACACAATCATATTCATTTTCATATATAAATGAATGAATGAAATTGAATATAATTCAAATTTCGTATAATTAATGAACCAATAAATTGAACTTTATAGCTAAATATCGACGAATTTTATTGAAAAGTTAAGAATTGAATTTTTCATTTTTTTTTTTCAAAATGCAAATAAATGTCAATGTTATAAAAGTAAACAAATGACTATCAAAATAAATAAAAAAAAAAAGGAGAAAAAAACATTTTACTTGCAACAAAACTTCAACAATATTTTGGGAAAGAATAAGTAAATAAATAATTTATTTATTTAAATGATTAAATAAATAAAAAATAAACAAATACATGCGTAAAATGAAATAATTAAATAATTATATGCATGAATACAAACAAAAGTAATTATGTAACTAAATAATTGTATACATAAAATAAAATAAAATATATGTTTAATTTCACCAAAAAAAAAAATATTTAATATATTTATTTTTTTAAAATGATATTTAATATATTCAATTGAAAAATATTCAATTTCTTTTACTAAAAACTGGAATTATTATTCTTTTATTATTAATTTTTTTCTTTTTTTATCATAACTCTTTTTCCAGTACATAAACAATTATAATAATACCGTTAAATTAATCAGTTTAAATATTTACAAACTTTTTCCTACACAATAATTTTGATCCTACAACTATTCATTTGCAATTTCTAATGAGTTACTTAAAAACTTAATCAAATTTTGACATTCTTAACTTAAATTAAACGTTTGTTTTTCGTCATTTAGTAATTATTGAATGTTTTATTAATGTTGCTATACATATCAATTTAGCGGTTTCTTTTTTCATTTTCCTAACAATATCAATTATTTTTTAAATTATTATTCATTCTCTTCTATTTAATTCTATTTAAATTATTTAATTCTATTTAAATTATAAACAACTTATTAAATTATCAAATTTTTTTTTAAAAAAGAAGAAAATTCCAATTTTTAAGCAAATTTCAAAGAGAAAAAAAGAAAAAAAAACTCACTCTTCATCTAATGTATAATCATAGTTGTCGGAAATTATTTCCGTAATAACCGTTGGTGGATTTTGCCGTTGTGGTGTAAGTTTTATCGTTTCTGCGATATCAATTTCAATTGCAGGATTAATTTTCGGTTTTATCGATTGTTTATTATTTTTATGTAAAATTATTGATTTCATTGTTCTAGCTGTAATATTAGCTGATTGTATCGGAATTTCTGTTATTACCGGATGTGTTGTTGTTGTTGTTG